TGCTTTAGCCCTATCACATATTTGGCTGCCCATCTCTTTGATTGGTTCAATAGATAAATGCCTCTTGAAGAGAGGGAGAGCGTTTGACTTGGTTGCATACCCCCATGTAGTTTGAGCCGGTGTCTAATCTCTCTGCGGTTACAGGCTCTTTGAAGAGAAAATTGAGAGAATGTTTCCATGGAATGTGTAATTATTTTTCAATCTACTATAAGCAATGCGTAACAACATTGAAAAAAATTTTTCTGCCATACAGGTATTGTAACAGAAAGCATACGCTGAAAATCTCTCAAAAACGCTTTATTGAATAGTTATGTGTTTACTCTTTTTCCTTGTCCCGTATTTGAACTTTTACGCAGATCTCCCTTAACCACGTTTTATGTTCTTCAGTCTTCATGATCTTGGCTTCTATAGTTTGACTTTAGTTAAACATTTACCTTTGTTGCTTGGTTTGAGTGTTGCATGTTGTTGAGCCATTAAAAACAAGGTCGTTTCTGACTCAATTCAAAGTTACGGTGTGGCTCAGCTACTGGTTGTTGAACTAGATACGGTTAGTTGAATCCTTACAGATATTAATTTGTAACTGTCTTCTTAGGAATACTCTCACTGATTCGCAGGCACCGAACAATTTTTTACCAACTATCCCTTCTGCTGTTTAGCACATGATCTTGTGTTAGAGAAACATTTGACTGTATGGCACAGATTGCATCGTTTGAGGCACTTGTTTCGGGATAATTTAAAACGGGTGACATAAACGCTAGGTAAGCTATACAGAAAGACGCAGTTCGGCCCGATCAAATTAACTTTGATTTGTTAGCTCTGAGTTCAGGCCAAATACTGGAATTTCACGCTTTACAATAATTACGAGTAAGAATTGATATTGAGTGCTTAAATGTTATGAGCAACTGATAAGTGACTTATAAAACGATAAGACAGGAAATATTCAGTCAAGTGTTTTGAATCAAACCTCTTCCATTTTACCTAACACAATATACAGACACCAACCGTTGAATCATTGGCCTTAGTGATGACTGTTTTGATAATACTATACAACTAATGACTTGTTCATTAGTCCAGAACTTTTATTATGATTAATTTAGTTTCAAAAACTTCATAAAACTTCGGCACCACTTCCCTATGAAAATACCTATATGCTATTTATTCTGGAAATCCAGTTTAGGGAATAATGCGATCAGATGCTTGCTTTAGAAACAGAAAGTTCTCAGAAAAGAAAGAATAAACCCAAGTGAAATTTATTTAAGTGATACGAAGTTCTGGTGCCAGTCCGGAAGACGCATTGTAATAATGAGTGTGTATATAAGCTTACTAGCATTTCAGATAACGAATTGCAAATAAACAAAACTTCTATGGCATTATTTATCATACAAAATCATATTAATCTTGACTCCACTGAAGAATTATAATATAGGTCGGTATTAGCACATTTATCATGGCTACTGTAGTAACTGGCTTGACCCTAAATTCGTAGATTTGTCACGATGTAACTACCCAAACTATAAGATCTTACGCGGAAGTCACACGGTTGTCTGTGCTGACACACCCCACGTGAAAATTAGCGATATGTTGTCTAGCACTTCTGGACATCACGTTCGAGCTGGGGATAAAATAATATATTGAATATGAAAAGGGAATAGGTTACACAGTGATCACGACTGTAAGGCCCAGCCGTGTCATTTGGATTCTGTATTCCCACATTCACCATTATAGGCAGTGTCCAAGTGATACTTGTTAAATGTAAATATTCCCAGTAATTATATGTCTAGCTTCAAAGATCGTATGGATAGAAATAAATATCGGCACATGGTTTATCAAAACAACTGGACGTGGAAGAATTCAACTCTTATAGGGTTCCTCACAGTATATTCCATGTATTATACATGTACTATTTTGAGCTTGGTAGCCTCTAGCGTGCAGGAATGAGAATTGAAGAACTTCAAGTTTACTGAAACCAAACTCCAGCGACGTCGTCGGTCACATCGTTTTAAGCATTTATTAATTCCCAGCAATTTTATAACGATTAAACAATAAGACATAATTATGATTGGAATTTATCACTTTGTAACTTATCAATATCACGAATCGCCCCATCGATTGGAATTATCGCTTATTTATATCCGCGTTGCCTATCACTTACACTTGAAAACAATGATCCAAAACAATTCCCACAAAGCAAATTAAGAACACAAAAGAATGGTACAATCGAAGTTCTGTTCGCTCCAAAACACGAAGACTCTAGTCGAAAATGCCCTCCATCTATACACTGATTAGTTCACTCATTGGGTTAGCAATTGGAAAAAAGTTACACATATTGGATTGCAACAAAATCTCATGTTATTTGTCATCTTGAACATAGATCGTGTCAATCTAACACAAAGATTATCATACATTGAATAAGCATCACACCAAAAGTGACCTAATAAATTATCTGTTTTATTTGTTGCCTTCGACTGTGAAAATAGACTTTTACGTTTCATAATAAACAAATAGGCACAAAACACAATATATTTTTGCCGGATCAGAATTTTGTAATGCTATAGAGTGCATTTGATGAGGTTCCTGAACCAACTCTCAGAGTTGGTTCGCTTACGACCAAGTGCTGAGGATAGAATAACATGGATTCAGCTCCCACCAATTCCCAACACCCGAAAACAGGACAAATCAATAATTGACAATGCGTATACACTAATTTAGACCTTAAGTCCCAGTAGACCTTCCAGAATGATTAGTTTAGTGGTACAATGTAATAAAGAAGCCCGAGAATAGTACTAAAATGTTTCGTACCTGTTGTCGATACACCCTCAAAAATTTCACTACCCACAATACATGAAACACTAAACAGGGTCCTTAGCACGACCAAATCAAACTGAAGTAGATATTTGCCCACTGATGTGTCAGATCCTAACATGGAATAACTAAATGCTACAACCCCATTAAAAATATCTGCTAAGTAGTTCCTGTCTGATTACTTCCGTCCAAATGTGTCAGTATTTTCCAACCGTTTCTTTGTCCACTCCCTCACTTATCCAAGCATCAAGGGGTTCCGGTCTCTCAAAAATCAAGAAGTTTCGAGCCTCTTTAATCCAACATAATTCCCTCAATTTTGATGAAATTTTACCAACATGTGGTATTTGTGTGAACTAACGATTCTTTTGTACTTGACTGCTTGATTTGAATTCCAGATACAATACGTTCACTTGTGCTCATTTAGTTCTATCTACCCTTAATTGCGTTATTTCGGGGATTCCTAACTGTTTGTATAATAATTTGGATACTTTCAATTATCATACCACAGTTCTAAAGAAATATAGAAATTTAACTTTCTTTCCTCATTACCATCTTTGAATGTTCCTTCTACAAGAGTGGACTCCTCTCTGATTGAAAGTTGTGGCCATACTCGACTATAAACTAGTAACAAGGTAAAGGCTTCCAATCAAGTGCTAATTTTAATCCTCACTTAGGTAGCTGTGGTGGCGGAAAAAGTTTTAATTAAAACCCTTTGAAAATATATTGCCCTGGTGGTCTGTATTTCCCCCTACAGTGATTACGTGAATTCATCTTTCACATTTATATTTTACCTGTATTCATAATTATGTCCATCTTCGTAAGCAATGTGATTAGTTGTCTACCTACTCATTATATTTTATACACTGCATATTCCTGAACATACGATGAATCACTCTAGGTTAGTTTGTCAAATGTATCACCTTTATTCTTTATCTACTTATCTTCACCCACACAACTTGCTGCTTGAAAATGAATGCATCCAATGAACTATCCCTGTTGCAATTCGTCTTTTGACATTTTACTTCAGTATTGTAGTGCCGTGATATCTCAGTGATTAATTACAAAATTAAATCTGAGAAACATGAGTATTGTACTGGAGTCAGGCTCAAATGATAAATTCCCAGTAACTGTTCTGCCTAAATCTTAACATGACTTTCCGCGAGGCAGACTTCAAATTATGAACTCATCAACTGTTTGAGATAGGTTGGTTTTCGAATTAGGGTGTAGTACTATGGTGCATATCTTCCCCTCAAGCATCTGCGAAGCATTTGACAGAGATGAACACCACGTCTTATGCTGTAAACTAAAATCGACAGGTACTATTGGGTATCTTATGAAAAGTTATACAACTGCACCAACAAAGACTCATCCTCACCCAATAATACTGAATTTAAAACTGCGATGATGATCGTTGATAGTACATCCCCCAAGTACTTTCTTGTTGATCCAATTATCTTGCACTTCATCACAGAAAAAATGTGAAAATTGCTTTTTGTCATATCATTTATGTTTCCTCTTACTGGTATTCCACATCCAACTAAGGATACTAACTTTTATAGCTTCTTTCTTATATACTCCCAGGAATTTCGAAGACCTTTTCAGTGTTTGATTAAGACCCCATCGAGGAAAAATGCACACATTATTTCTGACCACTTTAAAATGGACATCTGCTTCATGTAATGAGTTCAATATAAGAATCCAAAACAATATTCTCATATAGAAATACAACTAATTCAGCTCACTTGAGCGCCTTAATTTATAACCTGTGTAGTGTGAGAGGATTAGAGAACTTACTATTTCCTCCATAATCCTATTCACCTTAATTCATCAATCACACGTTTCGAATAGAAATACATTCAAGAGGACGTCTGTGCGTGATAGAACACTGAGCTGGTATAAACACTTACGCAACCATTTTCGCAGCAAGAATCAGTAAACTCTGGAGCCCCTTACCGAAAGTGTTAGTAACGGTACCTTATGTAGAATCTTACGATGTATGTTCTGTGATGAAGGATATAAAACCAGGACTTACTCCTAAAGAGCTTTGATGACTATTTACCAACGTCCTCCCTTCTCAGACTCAGAAGATAGATAACAAATGCCACTCCTTTCCGTATCCATGATCACTCCCTTACTACTAAGGTGTAGATCCTAAAGAACAAAAACTTGACTACCTGTGTATAGAGCAGTTTGAAAGTGTTGGACATAAGACCGCGAGTTACTATTGTTGCGTCACTGTACTAGGTTTGGTCTCCTATTGGTTTGTTAATATTCTTCCTTTACCTGAGTATTTTAATTATACTTCTCAGCTTTTAGTAACAGTGGGACTCATTAAGTTTACGTGCAAATTTTCTCAATCTCTAATAGTTCAGCTTATTTGTATAAATTGGTTTCCCTATGTAGACAAAATTGAGACAATTGTATGACCAACCCTGGCCGACCATTGGCGATAACTACATTGTCCGGCCTTGTGGTAGATAGCTTTGAGTTTCTGTAACTGATGATTTTCTTGGAAGAATAAGTTACCTCAGGCCCAGTGACATTGTCAGCCATATTCTGATTCAGTATACTTTGAAAGTAAACTTCTTCGGCATGTCGCTGTGCGGCTTGTTTAGCTTCAGCTAATCCGCAGTGTACTGAACGTCTGATTTTCCTCATGTATGATTCAAGAGGAAAGACAGAGAACGACTCTAAACTTCCATGTTCTATAACGTTTATTATTTATTTATTTATTTGGACACATAAATATTGGTACCCTGCTAGAAGACATGCACATGACCTGCAGTTAGTGGAGTCTGTGGTAAGGAATGTTCTACCTGAAGAGGTTTCAGGGGTACATATTACAAAAGTAATACGACTTGGTAAATGGGTTGGAGGCGAGACCCAACCAAGAAGAATCCTGAAGCTGGTACTCGGGAGTTTTGAAGAAAGAGACATATTATTGAAAAACGCACCAAGAAATCGTGACTCAAATATCCATATTCGACCAGATTGACCGCTTGAGGATCGAATCAAGTGGAAGAATGCTCTTACGGAGTTGAGAACTCGCAAATTAAATGGCGAAAATAACCTTACCATTAAGGGTTTTCGGGTAGTCAGGTCTTGAAAGCCAATGCTTCCGAAGCCTGTATGGGTAGGACGATTGATTGCAAAAACACCTTAAGTGTGTGCTACACGAACGCTCGTAGTCTTAGAAATAAAACGTCCGAGCTAATTCTGATGGTGGAAGAATTATGTCCCGACATAATCGTTGCTACAGAAACTTGGTTCATAGTAAATATAGACTGTTCTCCTTTCATTGCAGGTTGTATCTGTATTAGAAGTGATAGAGTTTCAAGTCGCAAGGGAGGAGGTATAATATTATACGTTAGGGATCACTTTCGTATACAATCAACCATATCGGAGGCCCATATCAGTGGCACATGTGAGGTTGCATCTTGTAAGATTAAATCTAGAAATGGGTTAGTGACTATAGGGGGAATATACCGTAGTCCATTTTGTCACATCTGTTCTTGGAGTAAGGCAGAATGTTTCCTCATCATTGGGGACTTCAACGCACTGCATATCAACTGGATAGAGCTTACAGCTCCAGGTAGTGGTTTCGATAGTGACCTTTTATCTACCGTTATTCAGTGTGCACTTGTACAATGTATCACAAAACCGACACATATTGATTTGCAACATGATCCGTCACTGCTGGACCTCGCCCTCACCCACCACTATGAGGATGTCTTTGATATTCACCACCGCCCACTAGTTAACAGTAATCACGTTGTAATTCACTTTAAGTTTAGGACACATGGTATACAATTCGTATCTGCTCCACCCCGTCCCAATATCTGGCGAGCCAATATTCCGGAAATCAGAAACTGTGCTATCTCGACTGATTGGTCGGTCGACGCGGATGGATTGATCGAAGATGAATGGAATAAGTTTAAGGCTACATTCGAGTTCGTAACGTCGCCGTTTATCCCATGGTCAGCACGTAAGCTATCACATTGCCCTCCATGGATTAATAAGGAAACCCGAAAGCTGCTAAAGCGTATGAAACATTTCTGGGACTTATTCTTGTTGACAGGTCATGCACCATTTAAGCGTGAATATCAAAAATTCCGTAATATCTATAAGAAAACCATAGACAAATCTCGTATCACTTACGAACGACAGTTAGTATATGATAGCCGTACTTGTCCGAAACGATTGTTTTCGTATGTTAAACGGCGAATGAAACGTAGTGATAGCATTCCCCCGTTACTGTTACACGAAAATTCAGATTTACTAGCTGAATCAGATCGAGCAAAAGCTGAGACTTTTTCAGACTATTTTAGCGAAGTCTTCTCTACGTTTATTGTAACAAATACTTGTCCCACTCACACCGAGATACCAAGCATTGAATCTGTACAGGTGACTGAGGAAACTGTCCTTCCGTTGATAACTAACCTCAAACCTGGTAAGATACCGAGCCCTGACGGGTTACACCCACGGTTGCTGTCATCTCTTGCGGACATTATTTCGAAACCACTCGCGATACTCTTCAACATGTCCCTTTTACTCGCTCAACTCCCTAGAGATTGGAAAGACGCTATAGTCAGTCCTATATTTAAGGACGGTCAGAGACAGATAGTATCTAACTACCGGCCTGTCAGTCTAACTAGCATAGTCGTTAAGTTACTTGAAAAGATAATTCGGGTTAGGTTGCTAAGCCACATAGATTTACACAATCTGTTAGCTCATGAGCAACACAAATTTCGTAACAAGCTTTCATGCTTGATTAACTTGCTTATTGCGAGGGAGGATTGGACAACAGTCCTAGATAACGGTCTGTCTGTCGATGTGATATTCCTAGATTTTAGCAAAGCATTTGACAAGGTTTCACACGTAGGTCTTATGCAGAAGCTCACGAGCTTCAGAATAATAGGTACTGTACGGGAGTGGATAGGAAATTTCTTATGTGACCGCAGACAAAGAGTGAGGGTCAATGGTACGCTATCCGATTGGAAGCCGGTCAAAAGTGGTGTACCCCAAGGCACCATCTTAGGCCCTCTGCTCTTCCTTCTCTACGTTTATGAGTTACCGCTGTTACTTAGGTCGTCGACATTATTGTTTGCGGATGATGTAAAAATCTGGAGAACAATAAAAAGTGCGACTGATCACCTGGATCTTCAAGCTGACTTGGACGATTTACTTAGATGGGCTCGAGAGTGGGTCTTAGAAATTAATGCTAAGAAGAATGTACTAATGCACATCGGTCACGGTAATAGTTACCGTTATATTATTGAGGGTAAACCTCATCCTTGCGTTCAAGAGCATAAAGACTTAGGAGTAGTATTAAGTCATGATTTAAAAACAACTAAGCATTGCAAAGCAGCCGCTGTCAAAGGTTTTCGTGCGTTATGGTCACTTCGCCGAGCGTTCAAATCTTTTGACGAGGAAACGTTTCAAATTTTATATCCCATATATGTTAGACCACATTTAGAGTACTGTATCCAAGCAGCTAGCCCGTTTCTGGTAAAGGATACTAACTCCCTTGAGCGTGTCCAGCGTGTAGGAACGAAATTAGTGAAGGGTCTTTCTAGACTCCCTTACGGTGAGCGTTTAAAACGCCTAAATCTTTTCCCCTTGTCGTATCGTAGGACACTAGGTGACCTTATACTGGCATTTCGTATCTTTAATTATGATTTGGGTGTTAATATGTCTGGTCTTTTTGCTACCTCCAGCATTAATAATCTCCGAGGTCATAGCAAGAAGGTTCATAAACCGCGATCTAATAAACTTAAAATGGGATCCCTTTTTTCTCATCGAGTAGTCAATGATTGGAACCCCTTACCAGAACAAGTGGTATCAGCCCCATCAGTGGATACTTTCGAGGAGAAACTGGACCTTCACTGTAAGGCGATCTGTCAGGATTAATACAAGTTCACCAACCTACTATCCTTATTACTGAAGATTGAAGAGGGCACCAAATATATATGCGCCACACACGTTTTTGTGTGCGAGCTAAGATACTGCCCGGGTGCCCAAACCGAAGCAGATTCTATAACGTCCTCTACAATGTGCTTTAAACTATGCACATTGTAGATTAATTGGTTGCTACCGTAACACTTTTCGTAACCTAATAAGAATTTGTTAAGATATACCCAAACACTGTTTGCTAATGTGGTGTACAACTTAGGGTGTGATAATAAATATATTGACAAGGAGAGTATATATATGCTCAAAAAACGGTTCGAAATTAGGACTAGCAGTTAGTATTTGTAATTCTGTTTTTCACCACAATCTAACAACCATACATTTTACCTTCACTGGTTATAAAAAGCCACGTCAGGTCCATATCTACGTCTAAAACACTGAACTTCTTGGTTAATCTAGCATTGTATAAAAGGTTCACAGTTCTTGTGATCTGTTTTAATCACGTTCCGGCGAGACTCAAATTTAGGGACAAGCCAATCAGAAGCGTTTGAGCAATTTCAATTATTAGCCGATCAGAAGACAGTATCAAATAAAAATATATTATAAGAAAGTAATGAATTACAGTGGATATTCTTCTTTTTCATGATTTAAAAACTTGTTAAGGTTTGATTAATGTTCAGAAGTTCTGAATTCATAATACATACGGTATAGAAACTCGTCCATAGGGTTAGGGTTGTAGCCTCTCAATAAACACCTCTTCTCTAAAATCCGTTGTAAACCGATCGTATGTTAGCATCTTAACCCTAACCTTAACCCTAAACCTAACCCTATGGACGAGTTTCTATACCATATGCATTATGAATTCAGAACCTCTGAACCTTTATCAAACCTTAACAAGTTTTTAAATCATGTGAAAGAAGAATATCCACTGTAATTCATTACTTTCATATAATATATTTTCACTTTATACTAACTGTATTCTGGTTGGCTAATAATTGCCAAGGTCATTTAAGATTCGTTCAAAGGTCGTCCCTAAATTAGAGTCTCGCCCACGTTCCTTTAAATGTTTTTTACTCACTGTTGGCTTCGCCCTGTATTCATTACAAGGGAAGGATATAAAACGTCATAATCAGTTTGATATCTAGGCAAATGGAATTAATACCCATAAGTTTAATAGTCCTAGAAACTTGCAACCGCCGTACTGCAATAAGCGATGATTTTCAACTCCTAGCTCCATAGGGGGCAATTCAGTTGTACAGTGTTTTTTTTACTAACTCGTTTATCAGTATGCATCATAGCACAGACAATTATATGATAAACTCCTACCGTAATGCATACTCTGCCCATAGTGTTTAGCATTTGAAATTAAATATTGTTGAGTACTTTCGAAATTCAAGGGAATGTTAATGTAGTGACCCATATACTATCTCTGGAGTTGTTATAAAGTGATAACACTGAAGTCCACAAACTTGTATGGTGTAATATACCCTGGTACGGCCAAAGGTGAGCAGAGTCCACTATCCCTCAAAATGCTCTCATATGGCCTCGCGTATACAGCCACTGCTAGGGAAGTCCTACTCACTGCCTTCTCGCGGCAGGGTTGTTGTTTGCGAAGTTGGGAGTACAAAAAGTGAATGTCCGGCGCTTTAATCTGATTGGCTCACCTAGGGAGATTGTAAACCCTGATTGCAAACCAATGATGCACATGGGTTCCTGGGTCCTGAGGGAACAAATGGCGTATGAACCTATTGTTGGTCACCAACTACCATGTAACTGAATCTCCTTACGTTGCTCCACCGCTTTGTGGACTAGACCTCTAGGTCAAAAGCTTGAGGAGTGGCCTAAAAGAACCACGTTCTTCGGTTTGGGCGCTCGGGTAGAATTCTAGACCCCACACAAATCGAATGGTGTGGCGCATATCTATTTGGTGCCTCCTTGTACAATGTTTGTGTGCCTAATCACAAGATTAATCATCTGCACCTCCAAGTGTTAAATATAAGACCCTCCAGTTTTGCACACCACGCACAGAAGTTCGCTTAGCTCGTATCGTTTAGTACTATTTCTCGCTTACGTGGATTATTCTAGATTTTGGAGAGACTTATTGATTTATTACTTTTGAATCATTATTCACACATACATTTGGTCTTACTAGTTATTCTTCTATAACCCTGATTGCCTTTATGTATGGGCGTATGTGTGCTTGTGTTTATCACTTACTCTTCGTCACATCGGCTTGTTTTTCTGTGTGGATATAAATCTTGAGCTATGTCTGACGAAATTGACTTGGCACGTCTGTTATCTCCGATCCGCTTCGTTTCTCTTATTGTCCGCCTTCGTTAATGGATGTATGGAATATATGTATCCAGAAATATAGTATCTGACTTTTTTTTTCCACTACTTACCAACGTGAATTAAGTCGATGAATATTTATTAGATTAAGTGGGATATATGTTTCGTTATCATCATTATCAACCGTTCATAAGGAGCCGTCTGGTTTTATACTAGATTTGATGTCAATAATGTATTTTAAGTCTGAAAGTACAGCAACATATAGTACCAGCTCAATGATTTGAGCTGTACTTTGTAATTAATTTTGCCAAATTCCAAATAGAAATTAAATCGTTACTTTTAAAAACCAGGGATCGATTGGTGTAATTGTTCCTTTAACTCAGAAGTGATCACTTCCTCAAACTAACATACATTTGATCAGGTACTCTTATATTTAAATGTTCCGAATTTATTCTCCTTTCGTTACTTTTTCAGATCATCCGTTTAATTGTCTGAAAACTAATATATCTTGAACAGTATTGGTCTTTCAAATATATATACATATATATACTCAGTATGGCTCAGGGAAAACTTAAAGTCAAAACCAAATTACCCAAAGGAGTAAAATCCGGTAAAAGTGAAAGGTCTTTACAGAAACAATCCGCCAAACCACTGCGCAAAGGGACTCGTGTTATAAAACCAAAAAAAGAAAGACTAAAAGAAGCTCATGAAATGAAGAAGCATATGGAAAAATTGTTAAAAAAATCAGTGGAAAAACAAGCTATTGAGAAAGTGTCGTCTTGTGAACCCCGTTCACTAAAAATTGTAAAAGAATAATAAATCATTAAGAATGTACATACTCAAGAATCTTTGCCGTTTTGCTTTCTAAGATATACTGGTAATTTATTTATACGTGGGGGGATGCAGCACAATATTATATTGTTTCTCTCTACTTATGTCTCCAGGAATAATTTCGTTTGGCCCAAAATTTTCTGAGACCAGTTGTTTCCTCACATTTTGCATGGTGAACCTAAAGCGTACAGACATCATAGTGCTACTAGGTAGAAGCTTCAAACAAATGTAGGGTCTCCCAAACTCCTCAGATGAAAACCTGAAAAGATTTGGCGTGTAACTGACATCCGTCAAATATAAGGTGGTTTAAAACTGATCTACACAACCTACTTAAAGAATAGGGACTAAAGTTGTTGAGCGAATAAGTCACTTTACTTATTCAGCGAGATCTGTCAACTGTATGGAGCGACAAATACCTGCATCTTATGAGTTGGTAGATAAGTGCTTTAACTCATAAACCACCACCTTGTTAATTTTCTCTTGATGTACTAATGTAAAATGCTACAGCTTAGTCTGATTTACATTTGTCAGGATGTACGTTATTTATAACTTGGTTACTTTTCCTATGCACATTATTCATGCCACTTAGATACTTCGCCTAAAATACGGTTCTCTTTGTTTATCAGTTGTAATGACTACAATTTATTTAAACCAAATATGGTGGGTCACAGTTAACTTCGTACTCTACTTTCTTTTTAATTAATGAACGCATAGATATCTACTTTGTTGCCTGTCTGGTTAGTTGGACAACACAGGTGAAACTATTAGACAAGAAAATGTAGTTAGGAATACCCGTTATAATAATTTGGGATCACGTCTTGACACAGTTGATCATTAAGAATTGCAAGACTATCAGGTTGACGTCAGTCACTCATTTTTCAGAAAGCTACGAAATGGTCGGGCGTAATTCTTAATTTTTTGGTTTGTATGGGTAATTATTATTTCCCCAATGATTTTATGGGTAAATTATGGGGGTTTCGCTATGGGAAGGAATTCGAAGAGTGTAAGCGTTTTTTTATCCTTCAGATGACTGAATAGAGTGTTGACTGTTAAATATAAGGTAGCTGAGTGATAGCTTCACGCGAGACTGGATTATTGACGTGACTCCCTGAATGAACTGATATGAAACAAAACCGCTTTCTAGGATACTGGGTTTCTTATCTAGACAAATAATACGATAGTATTCAAATTAGTAACCGAAAAATAGAATAGTTCCTAATAATAAATGACTTGCGAATATCAGCTTTTGGCTTATTTACTCGCCAACGAACCGAGATGACTGTTATACCTGGTTCTCATCATCTTAAGGGTGGATGTTTGACTTTTTGTCTGAGTTGTCCATGAAGATAGATCGTGTCGAGTGAAAGCATTCCACTCCGATGGATAGTTTCTACCTGTATAGTACGAATAGCCCTGAAATTCTATAATCTAGGCTATTAATTAAGATATAAGTTTCTGTAGTCTGATGAAAGCACTTAAATTTTCCCACAATCTTTATCTTTGAAATACGTGAATAATAGCGATTTGAAATCGTGACTGATTGAATTAGTATTGTGAAGGACTGTGATCCGACTGATCTCCCAACTAAAGCCTCACTTCAAAATATGCTATATCTCCTCTGGTACCGGAGCCTCCATTATGCGAAGCTCAATAAGTAGTGAATTTATGACGAAACTATTCAGAGTTGTCTGTCTTTTTACTCATCATCATCTTAAGCTTTGTTATTTTATTAGACTAGAATAGTTTTATACCCAGCACTTAACACTACTCCATCCAGGTATATTCGACTACCAATAACAATCTAAAATATTATTGAATTATTTTATATCTAACTCGATGTAATAATAATGAGAGACAACTTTAAAGAAAAGAATGCCTTTTTTAAAATATAAGAACCATATATAAAGGTGTTGAACTAAAACCCGTGTTTCTCATTAGTATAAAATGAAGAATGTTGAATATCCTACGGTCGCCTACTAATGGAATGAATTTTCTGTTTATATATATTATCTACAACTTCTATTTTTGGGTATCATAACTTTTTTCTTTCGAGTTTGTATGCAACTCAATCTTCACAAGTTATTGCCACTTTTCTAAAGCCTTTGTATTTTTTTTGCTTGTTTTAACGTTTTAAGAATAATAAATTGACTTGACTTTATCATAAAAAGTGGGGATGTTCCAACGAAGAGAAGTTTCTTCTCGATGAAATCATTTACTTGGATTGTATGATCATATTTATAGTCATATCGTTATGTCAATAATAGTGGCACTAAAATTTAATCTAAATTACTTAATAATTAAGGGGTAATAAGAACGAAATAAACGTAAATAACAATGATAGGGAAGATAACTCTCCGCTTGAGGATCATGAGGAAGATAAAATATGTGAACCGACACATGTCGAAGGATAACTTGTAAATTAGCAAGATGTTAGAACTACGGTAAACTAAAGGATTGGTGTGGTGTTTGTATGAACTAATGATTCCTTTGTGATTGTTGGATGCTTGATTTTGAATTCCAAATACAGTACATTCGTTCGCGCCTATCTAGTACTTCTTGATCCAATTGCATCATTTCTGGGATACCTAGTTTGTACTATAATTCAATTACTTCTAATTATCATAATTGGATGTACCATTTTTGAACTCAAAGACCACATTTGATTTAATGGATGACAGTAAGTATAATCATTTTTAATTTCGTCCATCGTGATCTAACCGAGGATATACTTTGATTAATTTGTGGTATTTACTTTGTTCGTTTTAGTTGTTTATAGACAATTGTTAGTTTCTTTGAATACTGTCTCTTGAAAGCCTTTACTAACAAGAATTACCTTTATTGAAGATTACATTTCGTCTCAATTTCAGCATTTTATCTTATTATGCTGAGCCTTCTTTTCCCAATTATAATCTCCCTATCTATCTTTATGATGAATATTAAAACCCTTAACAATAAAATCATTACAGGTTTCCCTGGCAAGAATAACGTTTTAAGAACGTTGTTTGTTCTACTTCACTGTCACCATGTTTAACAGAATTTAATTATCACTGTTATTATCATCATTATCATCCTAAAAAATAAATAAATATTTGCGATTGTACGGCCTTAATAATGAATTCGCCGAAAAAAGAACTCTTCACTGACTCGATTTTTCTTATTTTAAATATGGGTCAAACAGGGTTTTCTGCCAACTACCTAAAACCTAATGGCATCTTAACATAATGAACGGTAATCTCGCGCCACTTGTAGCAGTACCCACACTACAACCTAGTCGGTAGAATTCGATCACCATTGAAGGAATAGAGAAGCCTGACGCTGATCACTTCCTTATGATCAACCAACTGTACTGATCAACATCACATTTGAAATACTATTGAAAAATTAGAAAATGCTACAAATATTTGTCATACCAGTATTGGAATCCTCTAACAATGTTCACCCATATCCCTATGACATAAACTATGTACAAATAAAACTACTGAAGAATTTCATACTAGATGGAAGGATTTCCGTTAACTCGTTTTTTGCTAGTAAGTACCTCAATCGAACTAAATTCGTGACACTTGAATGATACATTTACCAAAGGGTAATTTTCTAAACATTTGATTTTTACTTTGCTATTTGTCGGCTGGGTATCTGAGGTTGAGGTGTCTGTTTATGTGGAAGGGGAAATTTTTCCTGCTGTAATTAAAAAATATCAATTACAACAGACAATGACATCCAGGAGCTCTCGGTAAAGTCAACAATGGCTATCCAAACGAGACTGGGAGCGTATAATATGGGAGCCACTGTGTCTAAGCGAAGATTCAAGGAATGCGCAAAAATCGAGAGTAACTGTTAAGCGAATGTGTTTACAATAATAAATGAATATTACTATTCTCTGTGAATACTTAAGAACGTTACACGACCATAAATATATGTCACATACCATTCTCAAAAGCTACTAGAAATGAACTAGTTACTGAATATTAGTAAGTAGTATAATATAGTGCGAAAAAGAGGAGACCAAAGACAGAGTAAACGAACTTAACCAGCTGAATCTGTGGATACACTGGTGTAGAAATATCATATTTATGAAAATAAGTAAGTTAGTAATTGAAGCAGATCATTGCCAATGAACTATAAAACTTAATCTATTGTTTGATTGAATTGCTTGATGGATATAAAATTCATTTATAGAATATTCGGCATAACAGACCCACCACATCAAATAATTAGTCACTAAGGATTAGCAAATACCTCTCAAAGAAATATCCTGTCAACTCAATCCGACACCAAATACAAACGAACCTGACTAATACCTTCGTTACTTACTTACTTACTTACGCCTGTTACTCCCAATGGAGCATAGGCCGCCGACCAGGATTCTCCAACCCACTATGTCCTGAGCCTTCTTTTCTAGTTCCATCCAGTTCTTGTTCATTTTTCTCATGTCTACTTCCATTTCCCGGCGTATTGTGTTCTTTGATCTTCCTCTTTTACTTTGGCCTTGAGGATTCTATGTGACGGCTTGTCTTGTGACGCAGTTCGGTGATTTCCTCAATGTGTGTCCTATCCACTTCCAGCGCTTCTTCCTGATTTCTTCCTCCGCTGGGATCTGCTTTGTTCTCTCCCACACTACGTTGTTGCTAATAATGTCCGGCCAACGGATCTGAAGTATTTTGCGTAGACAACTGTTAGTAAACACCTGTATCTTCTGGATGATGGCTTTCGTAGTTCTCCAGGTTTCCGCCCCATACAGTAGAACTGTCTTGACATTTGTGTTGAAAATCCTGATCTTGGTGTTGGTTGACATTTGCTTTGAGTTCCAGATGTTCCTCAGTTGTAAATATGCTGCTCTTGTTTTGCCGATCCGCGCCTTCATATCTGCATCAGATCCACCCTGTTCATCAATGATGCTGCCCAAATATGTAAAGGTTTTTACATCTTCCAAATCTTCTCTGTCAATTGTGATTGGATTGGTGCATGCTGTGTTGTATCGGAGAACCTTGCTCTTCCCTTTGTGTATATTGAGA